GCACCACCACTAGGCTCGCATTTCTCACCTGCTCTTGCTTCTTCGTTTCCACATTTTAAGACAAATATTTCACCATTGATCAATACCAGAAATGATCACAAACGTGCACAAGTTTTGTAATTCCTGCAAATACCATACCTCTATTACATCATTGAAGTAATCCTGGACTTGGGCTGTCATCACAGTATAAAAATCTTTTAGATTTTTAACAGAAGTCCTCTTCATCGTCAGCTGAGCCTAATTAGTTGTGTGGATAATAGTTTTCCTCCACCATTGCTCTGCACATGCTCAAGGAGGGAAAACCTGACTTCTTTCCTGTGTGAGTCAACGTCTCAAAACTTGCTTCTTGGTTTCCAGATTTTAAGACAAATATTTCAACATTGAACCGAACCAGAAATGATCACTTCAGGGAGTGTGCAGACTTTAATTAGTTTTGGTTTAAGCTTCCCATGTTTTGTTTCAGTGTTAGGTAGATATCGATATAGGTCTGTGGTAGATATAATAAGTTGCTGATGTCTGATGTTCATCATCATTTCGGACACCAAGAATACACTTTAGACAGTTTATCATCTTGGTAGAATGAAACAAGAGATTAACAAATACACTGTCCGGTGTGTCAGACACGATGAAACCAAGACCTTGCCGTTACAAGTTGGGATGTGATGATAGATTCGGCTGTCAATTCATGCATTGCAGTTGACAACCAATGACAATAAATCAATGACAAGCTGAAATATTGATAGTTGATATCCATACCATGCTTGAGTATCAATACTTTTTATGGACATAAGCAGGTTATCAGATCAGTTTGTTTCTGAGGACTTGGACTGATTATCATCGGAAATGTATCAATGCTTTTGTTCATATCTGGTACATATGTGGCAGAATGTCCTGTGAAAATTTGATAAAATCATGAAAATGTCTAAATGCCATTTCTTTCTTGCAAAAACACTGCATAAAACATTTAATGATGTGCATAATCACAACGACTAGTGGATTCAGAAAGACACAACAATTATATGTTATTACAAGATAATGTTCTTTCGGTACATCAGAATCTTGAAATGTTTCAAAAGAGGACTTTTCATTGAAATTATTATTATTATTATTATTATTATTATTATTATTATTATTATGCTTTCAAAGTAGTTAGATACATTTATGTACTGTAAACCATGTGGACCTCATACTGTAGTAAAACATCAGAATGTGAATCCGATTGTCACCCATGTTGCCAGTGTTGGACATGTGTATGGAAGATGTTAAGATAGTTAAAAAATGTCAACCCCACACTTGACAATCAGTGAAGTCAAATAATTGTCACACACTTTTGCTACCAATTACCTTGAGGTAGCAAATCAGATAGTGGGGTGACAGTTTTGACGTCTGCAACCACTAATTTCAAGCCCCCCCAAAAGACGTAATGGACTTTGATTGTATATTTCCTATAATCTTGTTTCATGCTTGTCACAGCATGAATCTTCTACAGTTTTATCTTTACCTAAGGGGTGAGATTATGACATTTTTGAAATAACGATTACATCTTTTTTATCAGAGTCAAAAAGGATATTAAGAGTTTAAATTGAAAAAATACTCGGGCACAGGAGGTGGTTATGTTGATCAGAAGTTAATAGGTGGCCATTGCAGAAATAGATGTGACACTTCTTGAAACTGGAAACCTTAAAACAGAAGAGTTAAGTGTTGTGTTTCAGAAGCTGAAATGTCAAGCTAATGGCAGACTATATAACAGCATCGTAAATCTCATCACAGATGACAAATAATTTCAGTATGTTGCTTGTATTGACTAAATGTCAAATTTCATTTTGTACATGTAATCATATTTTGAGAGATTGTATTGTTTGAGAGATAGTGATACTTGTTTTTTGTCTTTTGTGTAAACCGGGTGACATTTGAGATAGTGATACTTGTTTTTTGTCCTTTGTGTAAACCGGGTGACATTTACATCTAATAGTCTTTGCATCATACATCAACTCGTCTTTGTCAACACCTGTTGTTTAGCTGTGTGCTGAATGTAAACCTTTTTGTTAAGCTTGCATTTCTTGCTGAAACAAACTTCCCTTTGCATTAAAACTTTTCAAAAGTAGTTAGTAGTGTTGACAGAACGTGATCTTTCGAGGCTTTGTATATTTGAAGGAAGTCTGCACACCTTGTCAAATATTGGTTTTAGATTTTATATTTATTATCTCATACATTGATACCAGGTAGCAGAAAATGACAAATTTGTTAGTGGACAGGTAGAAATGTATTCGCACTGTATTCTCAACATTTTGGTATTGATACGATGCACATGATGTATTGATCTTTTGTATGGGAAGTAGAAAGCATGGTTGGAAGTGATCACCAACTCTTGGGAACAATTGGCCAATGTTGAGGCGGCCATCATTAGGAGCCGGAGTATATTTGTCCTTATTCCATGGCATAGCAATCGGGGATGTTTGTCCTGGTAACGGCATGAACTTTCAATGAAATATTTCATATGTGTCAATACACAACGTGATGGGGAAGGTATCTTCCCCGTTTCTTGTCAAAAAGCATGGTAAGTGTTGCATTAGTCAATCGAGGCTCGAGTTCTTGGGAAACTTGTCCGTATTGGTTCAGGTAAGAGCGGTTCGGTTGACAACCTTATTGATGTTCCGTCGGCAGGAACCAATGTTGGTTTTCACCAGGATTGGTCATTTCCTTCTGTGTCAGTTTGGGATGGATTCTGTCATTGGTGGCGCCATCTAGTGGTCACTATTGTGGTCATCTCACTGGGCAATTAGTTGGTGTAATCTATGTGTCAGCGCCAGACCAGCACTGGACAATGTAATGAACTGATAAATACTGGGTGCTGGGGATATATAGGGTGTAACGGTTTTAACAAGCGTTTGTGTTGTACAATCACAGGGAGGCCAGGCTTGGGTTAGTCAGGCTAGCAAATTTGATTGAAGTCATTTAATAGCCACAACTATTGCTACTGCTGCTACTACTACTAGTCCATTTGTATTACACTTTTGCAATCCCCATGCTCAAAGTGCACTGCTGTTACCCCAGCCAATGGATCAGTGTACCCTTGATTTTCATTCCCAGCTCCCTGGGGAATATACACATATACCTGGATTGGGTAGTCCGGTTTCAGGGACATGGGTGAAAGTGTATCTTCATCCCTGATGGTATGAATTGTTGCTCACAATATCGATCACTGGATTGTCTAGTCCAGACTTGATTATATACAGGCCGATGTCTTATAGCTGGAATATTCCTAACAATATTCTTTTGACAAAAGTAATTAATTACAACCTCTTAACCTTGCCTACAAATGGGCACCAGGTCACGGAGCATAGTCTCCTTTCAACCTCCATCTGTACTGACATTTTTAGCATTTGTATCTTTGTTTGTTTGTTGTTTTATGCCGTGCTCAGCAATATTCCAGCTATATGACGGCAGTGTGTAAATACAGATTGACATGATGAGAATCGATCCATGCAATTGGGATACGATGACATGCTTCAACCAAGTCAGCAAGCCTGACCACCCGATCCTTTTAGTCGCCTCTTACGACAAGCATAGTCACCTCCCACGGCAAACATGGGTTGGTGAAGACCTTTTCTAACCCGGATCTTCACAGGTCACATTTGGTCTGAACAGGTCTCATCCTTTTGTCACTCTACTTTGTTATGCCATAACTTGTAAAGTTTCAAACCGTTAAGTAAAAATAAATGGATAAAGAGAATATATATGGTCATGATTGTTGGTCTTGCCTCCTGGTTGACGTGGCAGATGTACTTGGTGGGATACTTGGACGATGGAGATGGGGTTATTCATGGTAAAAGCTGACCCCCAAACGTTTGACAAATGAATAATTTGGCCTCAAGGGGCTATGACGCAACACTGTGGTATTTGTTTCATTTCCTCAGGGACTGGTAATTTATTATGGGGTTGGATTGGCTGTGAGATAAGGGGGGTCTTGAAAAATGACACTGCGAAAGAGAACATAATTAAAGGACTGGTCATTAATTAAACGGGTGGGTGTCATGAAAAAATGTCACATGTATTTTTTTTAAAATTTTGTGTGTGTGTGTGTGTGGGGGGGGGGGGGGGGGATGAAACATTTTGTTATATGTTACATAAAATGGTAAGGAAGGGTCAGCAAATTATGATACATTCCTAATCTCACCAGCCCACACAACCCCTATAGCATTCGACTAGTCCCTTACAACAAAATAGCTCAAAACATAATTCTTGGATCATCATCACATTCTATTAATTATGTTTGGTAACATGATACTTTTGTAACACAAAACATGTTTTTTTGTTGTTTGAGGTCAGAGGTTTGAAACTATTTTATATTAAGTAAAAAGTTCGGTTAAAAACAAGTCACTCTTCTGACATTTTCCTCATCTGACTTCAAGCAGTTCAAATGATGATCAATAAAAACGGATAATGAATACCCCTGAACTGTGTTATCGCAGTTTCCATTATGACAGTGCCAGTGCCCCTTGCAGACAGAAATGACCTAGCACTACAAGGGTAGGGAGCCGAGAGCCGATCCAATCTGACTGACGACTCTATTTTCTGTTTTTCCTGTGTATAGAGGCAATTGTGTCAAAGCTATATTGGCCTCCATGTCAAGTAGAACCGTATCACACCAGTCATAGCAAGCAAGCTTTTCTTGATTTTGCCGATCTGACAAAGCGAAAAAAATGTCAGGCAAGAAGGTATTGCTTTTAGGGGCTATTGATTTAGGATAGAATGATGTGAGAAGACCGCCTGCTCCAACCAATTCTCACTCAATATGGAGCTGATAAGCGTGCTTCGTAGCAACTGTGGTCTCCAGACTGCATAGAAAATGCACCTCCGTGAACACACACACATGAAAATAGTGAACTAGAACTTATACAGAAGGAGGAGAAATGTTGGCAAACTGAATTGCAGTACGATGTAGGAAGGATGGAATTCGGAAACTTGCCCCTATTTCATATGCGTTGTTTATCTTGCAGAATTCAGACCTGGAATCCTTCTTCACGAATACAAGCATCCAACTGGATCTATTTCCTGAGAGCGCTCAGTTCGAGCCAAAGGATTATCGTGGATCTTTGGTGAGTAGGCATTGATATCCGGCGGGTCAGCCTTCCACACTAGCACTCAAATGGAGACATAAGCTACACAAATCAATCCTCAATCACCCAAAAGAAGGATTAAGTTTTTTGGGACAACATTCTGAAAATTGGTTTTGAGTTTTGATTTGCCAATAAGGATCTTGATCGATGGGAAATCATCATTGAAAAAACATATATGTTGGTGTTAGGATTGTTGGCATTGTGTTGGAGTGATTGTGTTACAGGAGAGAGTGTAATTTGGAAGTGATAACGGATAATTGGACATTGATACAGTATTTATGTATATAGATAGAAATCCAATAATTTGATTTGTGTGTTCATGGGAATAAGGGTCGGGATGATCAATATATTTGGCCTACAAGGTTTCTTACACTGAGGATGTATTGGGTATTGACGAGGGGACTCCTGGCTTAGTGTTGAGGCTGAAACTACACAGACCTCGTCTGATGACTACAATTTGCCAGCGGCGACAGTTACGATCCACTTGTAGCAACTGTCGATATTAAATGGTCTTTGTGAATTGGAAGAGGAGGATGGAGATATAGATGTTGGTAGTTGAGTAATTGTAGATCTACAGTTCAGGCTTAAGAGGAGGAAGTATGGCTTCGCTGTTGACAGGGATACACACAGCCTTGTATGACGACAAAATATATGGGGGTCTTTGAGTAATTGTGGGCCTTCAGTTCAGGCTTTACTGAGGAGAAAGCATTTATGCTTCACTGTTGACAGGCATATACATTTACTTGAGTTTGTATGAGTGAGTGAGTGATTTTATGCAGCATTTATAAATATTCCATATATATATATCATATCAGGGGACACCAGAAATGGGCTTTTTGCACCTGGTATCATCACTATTTGATAGTGATTCATAAACACATGCTCATGACACAGTTGTAAATCCTAAAATTGACTCTGCTTTTAGCAGCGATATCTTATGAATATGGTAAGGATTTTGTTGGTTGTATGTTTATTTACACATTGTATGTGGGTGAGGAAACGAACCCTTGCCTTCAAGTTGAAACTTTAAACACCAGACAAGTTAACCGACAACCCCACCATTTTCTATGACTGCAGAATAGACGTGGGTCTTTGAGTAATGGCAGATTAGGTTTAGAAGCTGGTCTGCTAGTCAGGTCAGGACTAGAGTGTTAGGCATAGATTCAGTTCTATGATCCCAGTGAAGATGGATGTCAGTTTTTTGTGCCTGTAGGTCTACAGTTTACACTTCGAAGGATATGTGTATGCTTCAATGAAATTGAATGACAGTGTCACATGTCAATCTTTGACGAACATCTCGATTAGACTTTGAAAATATTTGTATACTTTTCTAACAAACACACCCAATTCGGCACGGTATCCACAAACAGCATTGATAAGTATGCACCGATGACATTCCAACTCCTTCAGTTACTTGAGCCTAGAGATGCTAGTTTCAAGCCCATGTGGCAGCTCCTGGTCTTCAGAGCTGAAGTGATGAGGGATCATATTCATGAAATTGGTAAAATTATGACTTGCTAAGGGCAATGAATATACATGTATGATAAAACCCAGATATGCTGTGTCTCTTATAGCTGCTGGGTATTTGGTGTCATGGTTCATGGTTCTAAATTCCCAGCCTGTGTTTGATATACTGCTCAAATGTTGATAGACATGTGTGCTTGCCTAGTGGAGGGTAGGTGGGTGGTTGTGGTGTTCAACATGACAGCCATAGTCCTGGGTTCAATTCCCTATATGGGTATTAACCTATATACTACTACTACTACTACTACTACTACTACTACTACTACCCCTACCCCTAAATAATTATGAATATAACAACAACAATAATAATAACAATGATAATAAAAATAGTTATTATTATGTCAAGAAACAGTTGAGGTTATACAATTTCTTTTAACCCTGATTAAGTGTTGTTTTTTAAACCATAGATAGTTTGATGGATGGATGGACAAACACTCCAAATGGAAACTGATGATATATTCTACTCAGCTTTGAATAGGTATAATCAGATATGTAATTCTATTCAAATACACACTTGACATTATGAGAACCAGTTTTGTGTATCGTTGAGAGATAAAAAATCCCTATCCAAAGTGGGGCAGTATATTATAAGCTATGTACATATGTTCCTGATAATAGCATAATAAATACAGTGTTGGGACAGGCTGGTCAGTTTTGTTTATAATTATAAACATGGTAGCATGTTTATGGTAATTGCCGTTGTAACATATTTGCTAGACTTGCACAAGTCTCTAAGGCAATGATTATTAGTTTAAATCATTTCTAGGTTATGTAAATAATAAGAACAGGTTGTCCCTATAAGAGACAGGAGTCCTCACTGTCCACATATCTAGACTTGCCTATTAGGAGGATAGAATTACTACACCTTCATGGACTTTTCTTTCAGTACAGCCTTGGAGCAAGGCTACATATTCACTGGTACAGATTAGTTGAGAAAGACCCTTGAAGCTTCCATATGTTGGTTGCCAGTGTAGATTCTGGCCTGATGTAAGCAAATGTATGTAGGACTCACCCATGATTGATAGCGATCAGCTGACTCTGACACTTCCCTACACCCCACAGTGATGACAGCTTTACTGATGAGCCAATGAAATCATTCCTTTGTTGTTCACATGGCCTTGTTTTGACGAGCTTGGCTGAATGGGGCAATATCGATGGTGAAATGATTCAATTATAAACAAGCATTCTAGTTAATCACCAGTTCAGGATAGATTACATAGCCTCCTGTGAAGTGGGTCTTGTGGCCAAACTACATTGCTACTTTCAACACTATAGCTGAAACACTTGTATCGCCAGGGGATAGGGTGTTTGTTGTTATTTACAAGTTTTATGGGACAGCTTTACCTAATGACTGAGATTAGTTCTAAGGAGGGCAGTATATATGCCTGTTAATAGTCACAGTGGAATGGAAATTGGATTTGAAGCATTTTTGTGATACCATTGCAGTGATGTCTGTGAATAATATCAGTGTCAGTTGTGCACTGTACATTGTTCGTCTTGTATGGGATACTTTAATGGCAGTTTGGCTGCGTAATGTAAGCATGTTTTTTGAAGGTTAACTGACTATAACTACTTCCATGATAGATAGGTGTTGTCAGGAAAGTATGATATATGTTGTTTGGAAAGTATGATATGTGTTGTTTGGAAAGTATGATATGTGTTGTTTGGAAAGTATGATATGTGTTGTTTGGAAAGTATGATATGTGTTGTTAGAAAAGTATGATATATGTTGTTTGGAAAGTATGATATGTGTTGTTTGGAAAGTATGATATATGTTGTTTGGAAAGTATGATATGTGTTGTTTGGAAAGTATGATATATGTTGTTTGGAAAGTATGATATGTGTTGTTAGAAAAGTATGATATATGTTGTTTGGAAAGTATGATATGTGTTGTTTGGAAAGTATGATATATGTTGTTTGGAAAGTATGATATGTGTTGTTTGGAAAGTATGATATGTGTTGTTTGGAAAGTATGATATGTGTTGTTAGAAAAGTATGATATATGTTGTTTGGAAAGTATGATATGTGTTGTTTGGAAAGTATGATATATGTTGTTTGGAAAGTATGATATGTGTTGTTTGGAAAGTATGATATGTGTTGTTTGGAAAGTATGATATGTGTTGTTTGGAAAGTATGATATGTGTTGTTTGGAAAGTATGATATGTGTTGTTAGAAAAGTATGATATATGTTGTTTGGAAAGTATGATATGTGTTGTTTGGAAAGTATGATATGTGTTGTTAGAAAAGTATGATATATGTTGTTTGGAAAGTATGATATGTGTTGTTTGGAAAGTATGATATGTGTTGTTAGAAAAGTATGATATATGTTGTTTGGAAAGTATGATATGTGTTGTTTGGAAAGTATGATATATGTTGTTTGGAAAGTATGATATGTGTTGTTTGGAAAGTATGATATATGTTGTTTGGAAAGTATGATATGTGTTGTTAGAAAAGTATGATATATGTTGTTTGGAAAGTATGATATGTGTTGTTTGGAAAGTATGATATATGTTGTTTGGAAAGTATGATATGTGTTGTTTGGAAAGTATGATATGTGTTGTTTGGAAAGTATGATATGTGTTGTTAGAAAAGTATGATATATGTTGTTTGGAAAGTATGATATGTGTTGTCAGGAAAGTATGATATGTGTTGTTTGGAAAGTATGATATCTGTTGTCAGGAAAGTATGATATGTGTTGTTTGGAAAGTATGATATGTGTTGTTTGGAAAGTATGATATGTGTTGTTAGAAAAGTATGATATATGTTGTTTGGAAAGTATGATATGTGTTGTCAGGAAAGTATGATATGTGTTGTTTGGAAAGTATGATATGTGTTGTCAGGAAAGTATGATATGTGTTGTTTGGTAAGTATGATATGTGTTACGAAAGTATGATATGTGTTGTTTGGAAAGTATGATATGTGTTACGAAAGTATGATATGTGTTGTTTGGTAAGTATGATATGTGTTACGAAAGTATGATATGTGTTGTTTGGAAAGTATGATATGTGTTGTTAGAAAAGTATGATATATGTTGTTTGGAAAGTATGATATGTGTTGTTTGGAAAGTATGATATATGTTGTTTGGAAAGTATGATATGTGTTGTTTGGAAAGTATGATATATGTTGTTTGGAAAGTATGATATGTGTTGTTAGAAAAGTATGATATATGTTGTTTGGAAAGTATGATATGTGTTGTTTGGAAAGTATGATATGTGTTGTTTGGAAAGTATGATATGTGTTGTTTGGAAAGTATGATATATGTTGTTTGGAAAGTATGATATGTGTTGTTTGGAAAGTATGATATGTGTTGTTTGGAAAGTATGATATGTGTTGTTAGAAAAGTATGATATATGTTGTTTGGAAAGTATGATATGTGTTGTCAGGAAAGTATGATATGTGTTGTTTGGAAAGTATGATATATGTTGTCAGGAAAGTATGATATGTGTTGTTTGGAA